AGAGCTAGAATTTCAGGCACAGACCAGTGACAGGAACATTTGGGAGTTGGGGAGTTGCAGAATATGCTTCTTATCATAACATGAATGTTGGAGCTTAGTATAGTTTTTCCATGAAAAAAATTATGAATTTTGCATTTATGTAAAAATATACTCACTTCTTCAGCAAATATTTAGATAACGGAGACCTTTGTAAGTGCTGAGGGAGATATTCTGGAACTAAACGAGGGCAGTTGAGCATTACAGAGGCTCTGATAGAAATAAGTATAGGGGGTAGTGGAAGCACTAAGAAGGGAATAGTTGATTTCTTCTTGACTTGGAAACAGAGGTAAGGTTGGCCTCAGAAAGGCAGTGGTATTTGAGCTGAGTATTGTAAAACATGAGCTGACCAGGCATTAGTGGAGTGAGAGGGGAAGAGGGTTTCAGGATGAGCAAGGACAAAGAGGAAGGAAAAAGCTTGTTGGAGGGGAGAATGGTTTTATTAGGCTGGAGCAAAGGCTGCAAAGTTGAAACTAGAGGCAGGTGCAGAGGACTTTGCATACTGTACAAATAACTGTTTTATTTCTGTAGTCTTGGAAAAGCTTATTTTTCCATATTTTATTGTTTACTATAATTATACATAATAGTGGGATTTACTATTACATATTTGTACATGCATAAGTTATAACAATGTAATTTGGTCAGTATCACTCCCCATGGGAAATTTTAAAAGGTTAATTATTTTTTGAAGGGATTATACTCAAGAGATAGAAATTTTCAAGCAATACAGTTTGATATTTAAGAATACTTTATGATCAAATCAATATTTATTTCTTCTTTGTATTATCAAACTGTAGTTTTAGCTGGGCATGGTGGTACATTGCAATCTCAGTGGCTCAGCAGGCTGAGGCAGGAGGATCACAAATTTAAAGCCAGCCTCAGCAACTTGGTGAGGCCCTAAGCAACTTAGTGAGACCCTGTCTCTAAATAAAAAATAAAAAGGGGTGAGAATGTGGTTCAGTGGTTAAGTACCCCTGGGTTCAATCCCTGGTATCAAAAAACAAAAACAAAACAAAACAAACTGTAGTTTTATATTCATATTCTGACTCTTCTTTATTATTTATCTACAATGACAGGTGGTGTGCCAGTATTTGATAAATCCTAGTGTACCGGATTCAATGTTGATACAGAATATTTTCCAAGCTCTGAATGTATATTATAATTATTCAGGCCAGGCAAAATGCCTAAATATTTCAGAAACAGCAACTAAGAATTTGGGATCCCTGGGTTGGAGCTATCAGGTAAGTTTATGTGATATCACCAAGCATATTTACCTTTTATTGATATAGTAGTACTGTAATAGAGACTATACAAGATTTTTTCACCCAACCTGAATCCAAATCTGGACTGTTACTTTACACTGTGAGACCAGTTTCCTTATTCACTCATTCATGCATTCATTCATGTACTTAATCATTACCAAATACATAGTGAGTGCTTACCATGTGTCAGGCACTGCCTAGTCTGCAAAGATATAAAGATAAATAACACATAATCTCACCATCAAATATAGCCTTGTGAGAAAGACAGGTAATCTAAATTAATATTGTCATAGATCTCAATACATCCTATAGAGCAATCATTTCATGGATGCATAAAAGAAGGGGAGTCTAATTTGACTCTGAGTCTCCATCCCTTTCTCTTCATATGAAGACCAATAGTGATAATAATGTTTTCTTTCCAGAGCTGTCTTGAAGGTTAAATATAACAGTAGATATGAAAAGGGCAGTTTGCAAAGAAGGAGCACATAGTCGTAACCCCTGTGGCTTCTCAGCCAAGCCTTACCAGAATAGTAAGAGGTTGTTCATAAGTACTGCCCACTTATCACTGGATGTATATCATAATTATTCAGGCCAGGAAAAATACCTTAGTATTTTAGAAACAGCAACTAGGAATCTGTGATCCGAGGGTTGGAGTTATCTTTGATATAAAAATAAAGAGCATTAGCCCTGAAGCTGATTGCTTGAGCTCATTTCCTGGTTTTGCTGCTTTCTAGTTGAATGACCTTGGGAAATTAATTTTATCTTTTTTTTCCCCTCATTTAATCTTTGGATCCTCTCCTGGTTTGCCTTTAGGCTTGCACGGAAATGGTCATGCCCTTTTGTACCAATGGTATTGATGACATGTTTGAACCTCACCAATGGAACTTGAAGAAATATTCTGATGAATGTTTTAAACAATGGGGTGTGAGACCAAGGCCCTCCTGGATCATTACCATGTATGGAGGGAAAAACATCAAATCACACTCCAACATCATTTTCAGGTGAGCTTTGATAATTCAGAGAGGAAATTTAGTTGGTTAAGACACTTAGAGGCTAGCTGAGAAAATAGAACAGAAAATGCTGGACAGTAAAACAATACAGAATATAACAGCAATAACCATCAGGTTCTTCTACTCCTTGAAAGACAAAGGAGGCTGAGAAGAGATAGTTTTGTATTATTAATGTGCACAACAGCAGCAAAATCAAAACACTCGGGGGAAAACTCTATAGCCCAAATGAAGCATTGTCTATTATTCTCAGTTTATGTTATTTTTGTTACTATTATTGCTGATAAGGAAAAAAATTCAGTATTT